AATAAGGCATTCTTGGCCGATAGCATGGAATTGGACACAGAGCCTCACTATTAATTTCATGTAAGCAAGAGTGCCAGAAATGGCCCCACCATTAAGGAAAACCAACTTTCCAATGGTTACAATCTTTCCTTCCATTTATCTTTGCCCACTTATAGATCGGGTACACATCTCAGCCACCGCTACTGCAGGATTGACGAAATACTTCGAGGTTTTCGCTTGCATTGTCACTAACGCGCCATTCAGCGGCAGAACAGTCACAAGGCAACGAATGAATCGTTGTGGTGTTAGATTCCGTCTTTCCGCAATTTTTGCCAACAGATGAATGAAATGACCAATCGTATTTAACTTTTTTTACGGTTTCTACCACTGCCGATGGAAATCCAAGCCACAGTAACCGTGATTTTTCTGACTTAATTTTCATGACATCCTTAGCTTTCGACATTCGAAAAAAATGATTATTTCATTTGTCGCGTGCGTTAACACTCCTCGCAAGTCGAGATACCACTTATATTGCCTTGCAAAGATGTCTATGTCTCGAGCAGTCTGTTAGTAAAAACCATCTGAGCAATCGTATTCATGCTCATATTATACGGAACAGATTATAACCATGTGCATCTGTTTCACTGGTTCTGAAAGATACCAAGGCCAGAGAGAGCATGACGCTTGCTGTGAAGCAAAAAATTGTCAGATTCAGAAAAAATGTTTGCAAAACAGTCGTTAAGTCCAGTAATGAATGGGCAATATTGTTTTCATGAAAATTGCTGAACGACAAAACGGTTTAAAAGAAGCCGGCTGCTAATTCAAAAGATAGAATAGCCTACTGAAAGCAGATCTACTCCCGACAAGGTGCTTCTCCCTAGTTCAAGCAGTTAATGCTTAAATTAATCTGAGAAACATCTTTCCTACATGTCGAAAATCATAAATTTATAGTTATATTAGCCGTTACAGCGGCGTTATGACCCTGGATGACGATGACAACAACATAGTTCAGAGGGATTAAAACTCTGATGCAGATATACGACGACCAATGCTATATTAGTTTAATCGGTTCATCACTGAAATCACGTTAATTCATTTGAAGAGCTGGTCGAATATCACAAGTCTCTAGCGACTTGCAACTTTTGTATTCATATGGCAGTACGCAATAACTGTACTCATGCCGATAAGCATTAACAGCGATTAAGAAAATAACGCTGATAAAACGTTGATAAAAT